GAACATATGAACATGAGGTCATAAGCACATATAAACATGATGTCATAAGAACATATGAAGATGAGGTCATGAGAACATATGAAGATGATGTCATAAGAACATATGAAGATGAGGTCATGAGAACATATGAAGATGAGGTCATAAGAACATATGAAGATGATGTCATAAGAACATATGAAGATGAGGTCATGAGAACATATGAAGATGAGGTCATGAGAACATATGAAGATGAGGTCATGAGAACATATGAAGATGAGGTCATAAGAACATATGAAGATGAGGTCATAAGAACATATGAAGATGAGGTCATGAGAACATATGAAGATGAGGTCATAAGAACATATGAAGATGATGTCATAAGAACATATGAAGATGAGGTCATGAGAACATATGAAGATGAGGTCATAAGAACATATGAAGATGAGGTCATGAGAACATATGAAGATGAGGTCATAAGAACATATGAAGATGAGGTCATAAGAACATATGAAGATGATGTCATGAGAACATATGAAGATGAGGTCATGTGAACATATGAAGATGAGGTCATAAGAACATATGAAGATGATGTCATAAGAACATATGAAGATGAGGTCATAAGAACATATGAAGATGATGTCATGAGAACATATGAAGATGAGGTCATGTGAACATATGAAGATGAGGTCATAAGAACATATGAAGATGATGTCATAAGAACATATGAAGATGAGGTCATGAGAACATATGAAGATGAGGTCATAAGAACATATGAAGATGAGGTCATAAGAACATATGAAGATGAGGTCATGAGAACATATGAAGATGAGGTCATAAGAACATATGAAGATGAGGTCATGAGAACATATGAAGATGATGTCATGAGAACATATGAAGATGATGTCATAAGAACATATGAAGATGAGGTCATGAGAACATATGAAGATGAGGTCATGAGAACATATGAAGATGATGTCATAAGAACATATGAAAATGAGGTCATAAGAACATATGAAGATGAGGTCATGTGAACATATGAAGATGAGGTCATAAGAACATATGAAGATGATGTCATGAGAACATATGAAGATGATGTCATAAGAACATATGAAGATGAGGTCATGAGAACATATGAAGATGATGTCATAAGAACATATGAAGATGAGGTCATAAGAACATATGAAGATGAGGTCATGAGAACATATGAAAATGAGGTCATAAGAACATATGAAGATGAGGTCATGTGAACATATGAAGATGAGGTCATGTGAACATATGAAGATGAGGTCATAAGAACATATGAAGATGATGTCATAAGAACATATGAAGATGAGGTCATAAGAACATATGAAGATGAGGTCATGTGAACATATGAAGATGAGGTCATAAGAACATATGAAGATGATGTCATAGAACATATGAAGATGATGTCATAAGAACATATGAAGATGAGGTCATGAGAACATATGAAGATGATGTCATAAGAACATATGAAGATGAGGTCATAAGAACATATGAAGATGAGGTCATGAGAACATATGAAAATGAGGTCATAAGAACATATGAAGATGAGGTCATGTGAACATATGAAGATGAGGTCATGTGAACATATGAAGATGAGGTCATAAGAACATATGAAGATGATGTCATAAGAACATATGAAGATGAGGTCATAAGAACATATGAAAATGAGGTCATAAGAACATATGAAGATGATGTCATAAGCACATATAAACATGAGGTCATAAAAACATATGAAGATGAGGTCATGTGAACATATGAAGATGAGGTCATAAGAACATATGAAAATGAGGTCATAAGAACATATGAAGATGATGTCATAAGCACATATAAACATGAGGTCATAAAAACATATGAAGATGAGGTCATGTGAACATATGAAGATGAGGTCATAAGAACATAGAACCTGTGATGAAAACATTGATATGAGAGAAACAAAGCAGGAAGTTTGTTATCAGACTGTGAGCTCAGCACTGCAGTAACAAACTGCTAACGAGTCACTAAGTCAGAGCAACAATTCAGCTGGACCTCTGAGTGTGAGTGTGTGTGTCTGTGTGTGTCTGTGTGTGTGTGTGTCTGTGTGTCTGTGTGTGTGTGGGTGTGTGTGGTGTGTGTGTGTGTGTGTGCAGTGTGTGTGTGTGTGTGTGTGTGTGTGTGTGTGTGTCTGTGTGTGTGTGTGCAGTGTGTGTGTGTGTGTGTGTGTGTGTGTGTGGGTGTGTGTGGTGTGTGTGTGTGTGTGTCTGTGTGTGTAGTTCTATGTATGTTTATGTTTATTATCACTAAACTCTTCAAATATTCAGAATGATCTCTTTTTAAAATGACGGCTCTTTGAAATAAAGTCATCATTCAGAGAACAAGCAGCCAATCACTGCTGCTGCTCTTCTGCTGTCACCATGGAAACGCCCTTCAACCCAATGACACATGCACACACATACACACACACACATACACACGCACACACAAAGAAAAAAAACAAGCGAGGCATTTGAATTTCATAGAAACTTTAGAGAAACAAAGACGGAAAGGAAAAGTGAATCCAGAGACACTCAGATGATTGACAGCTGCTGTCTTCACACACACACACACACACACACACAGAGGATGGGTTTTGAGTTTTAAAGCTTTAAAGTGAAAAAGATTTTTATTCTGAAGTCTTCCAATTAGAGATTTTCACTTTTGACAAAGTGACAGTTTTGTCCTCACACACACACACTGTGACACACACACACACACACACACACACACTGTGACACACAGACACACACACACACACACACACACACATGTACAGACACATGCACACACACACACACACTCATTCTATAGATGATTCTGGACCAGGCCCTCCTCCCCCTCAGGCTCTCGAGTCGGATTCTGACATCACATGATTCTTATAATTAAAAGTCTGTCTTAAAAATGGGTGGAGACTCAGTGATATCATCCTTGGTCCCTGAAGAGATGTGTTGAAACCCAGCAATAGAGGTCGCCATTTTGGAAATGTTGACTTCAACACACCTACCTGTCAGTCAAAGATACCACGCCCCTAATGATGCAAATCTATAAATAACTATACATGTAAACTGCTTAGACCCAAACTGTGTTTGTATCAGGATGTAAAGATTTTTACTTTAACATGGAGCTCTATGGGGACTGACTCACTGCAGGAGACAGACTCTAGTGGACACTGGAGGAACTGCAGCTGTAAAGTTAGACATTTTAACATAGAGCTCTATGAGGACTGACTCACTGCAGGAGACAGACTCTAGTGGACACTGTAGGAACTGCAGCTGTAAAGTTAGACATTTTAACATAGAGCTCTATGAGGACTGACTCACTGCAGGAGACAGACTCTAGTGGACACTGGAGGAACTGCAGCTGTAAAGTTAGACATTTTAACATGGGGCTCTATGGAGACTGACTCACTGCAGGAGACAGACTCTAGTGGACACAGGAGGAACTGCAGCTGTAAAGTTAGACATTTTAACATGTGATCTTTTTTGTACTTTTAAGTTGACTAAATTAAGGTTGCTTCTGTTTTTCTCACATGTTTTATTTGTGTTCACTGAATCTTCTTCATGTCGAATTATATCCGTACATCTAACATGCTCTTTTATTTTGAAGTATTGGATCCTGTGTGTGATCAGTGACGAAGAAGATTATTAAATACATAATAAATGTTCTGCCCGTTATTTCAAACAGAGTTATTCATAATGTCTAACGTAATTAACACATGCTTTTATTTTGAAACCTTGACATACTTGTAGACTGTTTGTTAATGAGGTGTCACTTCCTGTGTGCAGGGTCATCCTTCCTGTTTGTGAACACGTCGGGTCGTTACGCCGGTGAGCGTGCACAGATGACGCTGCCCCCTCTTAGAGAGAACGACACACACTGCCTCAACTTCCTGTTCTACAGGGCGGGGGGGCGAGATGGGGCAGCGCCCGCCACACTCAACGTCTACATCAGAGGTACACATAAACAACAAATGCTACGCAAGTAAAACAAACTACCGCAAAAATGTGTGTGGGGCTCCCAGGTGTGTGGGTGGAGCTCTCAGGTGTGTGGGTGGAGCTCTCATGTGTGTGGGTGGAGCTCTCAGGTGTGTGGGTGGAGCACTCAGGTGTGTGGGTGGAGCTCTCGTGTGTGGGTGGAGCTCTCTTGTGTGTGGGTGGAGCATTCAGGTGTGTGGGTGGAGCTCTCGTGTGTGGGTGGAGCTCTCATGTGTGTGGGTGGAGCTCTTGTGTGTGGGTGGAGCTCTCATGTGTGTGGGTGGAGCTCTCAGGTGTGTGGGTGGAGCTCTCAGGTGTGTGGGTGGAGCTCTCATGTGTGTGGGTGGAGCTCTCAGGTGTGTGGGTGGAGCTCTCAGGTGTGTGGGTGGAACTCTTGTGTGTGGGTGGAGCTCTCAGGTGTGTGGGTGGAGCTCTCAGGTGTGTGGGTGGAACTCTTGTGTGTAGGTGGAGCTCTCAGGTGTGTGGGTGGAGCACTCAGGTGTGTTGGTGGAGCTCTCAAGTGTGTGGGTGGAGCTCTCAGGTGTGTGGGTGGAGCTCTCATGTGTGTGGGTGGAGCTCCCATGTGTGTGGGTGGAGCTCTCAGGTGTGTGGGTGGAGCTCTCTTGTGTGTGGGTGGAGCACTCAGGTGTGTAGGTGGAGCTCTCGTGTGTGGGTGGAGCTCTTGTGTGTGGGTGGAGCTCTCATGTGTGTGGGTGGAGCTCTCAGGTGTGTTGGTGGAGCTCTCAAGTGTGTGGGTGGAGCTCTCAAGTGTGTGGGTGGAGCTCTCAAGTGTGTGGGTGGAGCTCTCAGGTGTGTGGGTGGAGCTCTCAGGTGTGTTGGTGGAGCTCTCAAGTGTGTGGGTGGAGCTCTCAAGTGTGTGGGTGGAGCACTCAGGTGTGTGGGTGGAGCACTCGTGTGTGGGTGGAGCTCTCAAGTGTGTGGGTGGAGCTCTCAGGTGTGTGGGTGGAGCTCTCAGGTGTGTGGGTGGAGCTCTCAGGTATTCACAGTGCTTGTATTTCTTTCAGAGAACAACAGTCCTCTGGGAATTCCTGTCTTTAACTCGTCAGGCCCCGCCTACCACATCTGGAAGGGGGTGGAGCTTGCTGTATCAACCTTCTGGCCTAACCACTACCAGGTAACACACACACACACACACACACAGACACACAGACACACAGACACACACACACACACACACACACACACACATACACACACACACACAGTCACTGGATGTGGTTGATCCACATTGAAAGCTCCTTTATGTGGCTTTCAAAGCTCTGTCATCTCCAAACCGTATGAGGGCTGAAGCTAATTGGTTCAACAACTACACACACACACACACACACACACACACACACACACACACACACACACACACACTGACACACACACATTCAGCAGCAGCAGGAAGTGATTTTCTCTCTCCATGGGAACCTTCTGATTCCAAAAAGGTTTTTTTTCAGGCGTACCTGACAGACAAAGAGCAGGGCAAACACAGTCACTGAAACACCTTCAACAGCTGAAATAATCTGAACCCACTGAACAACAGAAACATGACTTTCACACACTTTCATGAAGATCCAGCAGATTCACTTTAAAAGAAGAATAAATCTGAGGTTACAGAGTGTCTCACCACCAAGATCCTTTATGGTGTCAAACATGAGGACTCTCACTCTGCTCTGTTTCTGCTTCACAAACTTCAAGAAAACCTTCAACTGAGCCCTCATTAATGATCCTAATGTTCATTTAACTATATTCAGAGTCGGGGGCAGCTGTGGCCTTGTGGTTACTGTGTGTGCACCGTGTACAGAGGCTATTGTCCTGAGGAGAGAAGGAGAGGAGAGAAGGACAGGATGAAGGACAGGAGAGAAGGAGAGGATGAAGGAGAGGAGAGAAGGAGAGGATGAAGGAGTGGAGAGAAGGAGAGGATGAAGGAGAGGATAGAAGGAGAGGATGAAGGAGAGGATGAAGGAGAGGATGAAGGAGAGGATGAAGGAGTGGAGAGAAGGAGAGGATGAAGGAGAGGTGAGAAGGAGAGGATAAAGGAGAGGATGAAGGAGAGGTGAGAAGGAGAGGAGAGAAGGAGAGGAGAGAAGAAGAGGATGAAGGAGAAGCGAGAAGGAGAGGATGAAGGAGAGGAGAGAAGGAGAGGATGAAGAAGAGAGGAGATGGAGAGGATGAAGGAGAGGATGAAGGAGAGGAGCGAAGGAGAGGATGAAGGAGAAAAGAGAAGGAGAGGATGAAGGAGAGGATGAAGGAGAGGATAGAAGGAGAGGATGAAGGAGAGGATGAAGGAGAGGATGAAGGAGTGGAGAGAAGGAGAGGATGAAGGAGTGGAGAGAAGGAGAGGACGAAGGAGAAGATGAAGGAGAGGAGAGAAGGAGAGGATGAAGGAGAGGATAGAAGGAGAGGACGAAGGAGAAGATGAAGGAGAGGAGAGAAGGAGAGGATGAAGGAGAGGATAGAAGGAGAGGACGAAGGAGAAGATGAAGGAGAGGATGAAGGAGAGGATGAAGGAGAGGATAGAAGGAGAGGACGAAGGAGAAGATGAAGGAGAGGAGAGAAGGAGAGGATGAAGGAGAGGAGGACAGAGTCACATCAGCGGGCAAGCGAGCGGTGAGACGAGGGAGGGTGCAGGAGGAGCAGGAAGCAGAGAAGAAGAATGAAGGGAAGAGGAGTCAGAGGAGTCAGAGGAGAGGAGGTGGACCCGCATATGGAGGGAGGAGGATTTCCTGTTTCTTGGTGCAGACAGGAAGTGCATGCCGCCGGTTTCCGTAGCGATAAGGCTGTGGAATGTTAACACACACACACACACACACACACACACACAGACATAGACACACACACACACACACACACACACACACACACACACACACACACACCACACACACACACACACACTCTTCACACATTGGTCAGAGAGGGAGGGGTTCTTGTCTGAATCATGTTTGAGCCTCTGAGTGAAACAAATGAAGCTCCGCCCCTTCAGTGTGACCACAGAGCTGAGTACAACAAACACAGAGAGAGTTTGACTTCACTGTTTGGTCATCGTGTTTACTATTTTTCTCGTCAGTCTGAGAGATATACCGTAACTTTATTTATTTAAGCCCCGCCCCCCAGCTCCGCCCATGGTGACGTAGTTTTTACATAATAAATATAATTATCTTATATTTGTTATATTTTATGTTTATTTTTAATTAATGTTGAAAAAATTTCTTCCATGCCAGTTTTTGGCTGGATTTACACTTTTCCAAGTCATGTCGATGGTGCCACAGCGCCACCTGTCTGCAGCAGGGCATAAAGCAGCTCAGTGTGTTGTCTCGTGTTGTTGATGTCACAACGTTCTGTGTGTCTCAGGTCGTGTTCGAGGCGGTCAGCAACGGTCAGAGAGGAGTCCTCGCCATCAAGGACATCACACTTCAGGGACACCAGTGCAGTGAGTACACACACACACACACACACACACACACACACACACACCCACACACACACACACACAAATATATGCTGAAAAGGCCCCGCCCCTTTGTAGAACAGGACAGTAATTGGTTAACGAGGTTTGGATGCTAAATTGAATAACGATGTTAAAAGTTGAGCTGGCATCTAGAATCAAGGTCAGTGTGTGTGTGTGTGTGTGTGTGTGTGTGTGTGTGTGTGTGTGTGTAGACAGGGGAGCTCATTAAAGTATAAATTGATTAGCATGGACTTTGATCCATCCGTCTGTTTATCTACCTGCCCGTCTGAACACTCGAATTTTTGATGCTGCTTTATTTTTTTGAGGAACACAAACACACACACACACACACACACACACACACACACACACACACACACACACACACACACACACACACAGCCTGCCTCCTCCAGGATCCATTTTCTGATTGGATGATATGTTTTTGGTGCTTTGCTGAAAATGTTTTATGGGAAAGGCGATCTGTTACCAAGGAGATACCAGCTGTGATGATGTCATCAGTGTGTTACCTCTGACCTCTGTGTTTGTTGTGTGTCTGTGTGTGTGTGTGTTTATCAGTGAGCACGCCTCACTTCCTGCACATCAAAGGCGTGGAGGTGAACGCAGGACAGACGGCTACGTTTCACTGCACCGTGAACGGACGACCACAGAGCAACCTGCTGCTCTACCTGCAGGTACAGTCATGACATCATCATGACATCATTGTGACATCATCATGACATTCAAACATCATCAAAACTGATTCAGGATTAATTAAAACTTTATTTAAATCAGAATATCAAACATGAAAACTGTGTCAGGGGTTTACCTGCTCAGGTGAAACAGGAAGTCTTCTTGATGATTTGAAAACATCAAGAGGGTTACACCCTGGACTGTTCACCAGCCAATCACAGAGCTGACATATAGAGACAGATAACCAGATAAACTCACATTCACACCTACAGACAATTTAGAGTCAGCAGTTAACCTAACGAGCATGTCTTTGGACTGTGGGAGGAAGACGGAGAACCAGGAGAGAACCCACACATGAACGAGGAGAACATGCAGACTCCTCACAGAGAGACTCCTGAAGGACGGGGATTCAAACCAGGAACCTCCACACAGAGAGACTCCTGAAGGACGGGGATTCAAACCAGGAACCTCCTCACAGAGAGACTCCTGAAGGTCGGGGATTCAAACCAGGAACCTCCTCACAGAGAGACTCCTGAAGGACGGGGATCCAAACCAGGAACCTCCTCACAGAGAGGCTCCTGAAGGACGGGGATTCAAACCAGGAACCTCCTCACAGAGAGGCTCCTGTCAAACCAGGAACCTCCTCACAGAGAGACTCCTGAAGGACGGGGATTCAAACCAGGAACCTCCCCACAGAGAGACTCCTGAAGGACGGGGATTCAAACCAGGAACCTCCTCACAGAGAGACTCCTGAAGGTCGGGGATTCAAACCAGGAACCTCCTCACAGAGAGACTCCTGAAGGACGGGGATCCAAACCAGGAACCTCCTCACAGAGAGGCTCCTGAAGGACGGGATTCAAACCAGGAACCTCCTCACAGAGAGGCTCCTGTCAAACCAGGAACCTCCTCACAGAGAGACTCCTGAAGGACGGGGATTCAAACCAGGAACCTCCCCACAGAGAGACTCCTGAAGGACGGGGATTCAAACCAGGAACCTCCTCACAGAGAGACTCCTGAAGGACGGGGATTCAAACCAGGAACCTCCTCACAGAGAGACTCCTGAAGGACGGGGATTCAAACCAGGAACCAAGGACGGGGATTCAAACCAGGAACCTCCTCACAGAGAGACTCCTGAAGGACGGGGATCCAAACCAGGAACCTCCTCACAGAGAGACTCCTGAAGGACGGGGATTCAAACCAGGAACCTCCACACAGAGAGACTCCTGAAGGACGGGGATTCAAACCAGGAACCAAGGACGGGGATTCAAACCAGGAACCTCCTCACAGAGAGACTCCTGAAGGACGGGGATCCAAACCAGGAACCTCCTCACAGAGAGACTCCTGAAGGACGGGGATTCAAACCAGGAACCTCCTCACAGAGAGACTCCTGAAGGACGGGGATTCAAACCAGGAACCTCCTCACAGAGAGACTCCTGAAGGACGAGGATTCAAACCAGGAACCTCCCCACAGAGAGACTCCTGAAGGACGAGGATTCAAACCAGGAACCTCCTCACAGAGAGACTCCCGACAGATGGGGATTCAAACCAGGAACCTCCTCACAGAGAGACTCCCGACAGACGGGGATTCAAACCAGGAACCTCCTCACAGAGAGACTCCTGACAGATGGGGATTCAAACCAGGAACCTCCTCACAGAGAGACTCCCGACAGACGGGGATTCAAACCAGGAACCTCCTCACAGAGAGACTCCTGAAGGACGGGGATTCAAACCAGGAACCTCCTCACAGAGAGACTCCTGAAGGACGGGGATTCAAACCAGGAACCTCCTCGCAGAGAGTCTACAGTGTTAACCTCTGCAGCACTGTGCATCCTCAACCAAATTGTATTTCTAATATTTTTACTTCCCCACAGTCTTGATCTACAAACACAGTCACAGCTCATGAAGTCTCATAAATTAATATTTTTGGTTAAAGGTAGAAACAGAAGGGTGAGGA